CCCGCCCCCAGCCTGTCCTCGACAGGGCCCGCCCCCCTAGACAGCCCCGCCCCCCTAGACAGCCCCACCCCCAGCCTGTCCTGACAGGGCCCCTCCCCCCCTAGACAGCCCCGCCCCAGGCCCTCCCCCATAGACAGCCCTGCCCCCAGCCCGTCGTGACACAGCCCCTCCCCCATAGACAGCCCTGCCCCCAGCCCATTGGGACACGGCCCCTCCCCCTTAGGCAGGCCCACACCTCTCAGCGTCAGAAATCCCCACCCCGCCAGCGCCACTCCCTCCCGCACCCAGACCCCCTCCATAGGCTGCAGTGCCCCTTAGCACCAGAAGGCCCACCCCATAGATAGCTCTGCTCCTCAGCACCCCCAACTCTAGTCCCCAACAGACAGTTCCAGCCCCCCCAACTCTAGTCCCCTCTCCCACTGTAGACCCTCCACCCCACACACTTCCTGGTGCAGGACCACCCCAATCTCTTCACTCCCACTGCCCCTGTCAGCTCCAGCTCCTCCCCTGCTCCAGACCCCCGCATCCCAGCTTAGATCGCTCCAGGCCCCTTCCACTTCCTAGGTCTGCCCATTACCTGCTTTTGCCCTCTCGGGACCCCTAGCCTCTTAGCCTCAGCTTCACCCTCCCCCCCCCCCCATTTCCTTGCTGTAAATCCTTCCTCTGGAGCTAGGCCCCTTAAGCCCCTGGAGATTACCTTCTGCCCACTTCAGTTGCCCACCTACAACCCCAGCTCCATGCCCTTCTGCACTTCTAGGCAGCTACCAGAGACTTCCTGGGAGGAAGCGGAGACCAGGCCTGCCACATGGTACGTACCCCCAGGAATAACCTTCGCAGGAGTAGCATGGCATTTGGCTCTCGGTTTATGAACTGTTCCCATGCATGGGGGAACGCTCTCATCTGTGCCTTTAAAATAGGGGCCACAGGGACGGCAACCGCTTCCAGGAGCAGTGTGGAGCCTGGGCAGGTAGGGAGCCTGCCTTAGCCCTGGGTCCCCGCTGCACCGCTGACCAGACTTTTAACAGCCCAGGCAGCACCGCCACCAGGGTCCCTTTTCGACGGGGCGTTCCGGTCGAAAACCAGACACCTGGCCCCGTCCCTCTTCCTGGATCTCTGCCCTGTGGGTGCGATGGTGCAGAACTCTATGATTTGGCGTGGTGCTCATTTTCTGATGCCAGTTCACCCCCCTGAGCTGGGAGTCCAAGCAAACCCCAAACCAAAACATCTCCAGAATAACCCAAATTTTGCTTGTTTTCTAGTGGAAACACTCAGTCAGATCTAGGGCCATGTGAGAGTTAGTACATGTTCACTTCACGGTTCACCTGCATCGTTGCTGAAGAGTCTGCCAAGGATTCAGGGTTATGGGGAAAAGCAGGAGAGGTGGTGTCTGTATACGGGAGAAGGGATCAGCTCACAAAGTTGGTTCGCGCACAGTAATGAAACTGTAACTTGTTGTCCAAAATCCTTCACCTGAAATAACTAACTGATCTGAGGAAATAGTAGTAGCTAGATTTGGAAAAAGAGAATAAGGCAGAGGGTGTGACATCTCTTACTGAATCAGTTCGCTATTGTTGCATTATATGGCCTATGGTATTACGACCCATGCAGTCACTTCCAAGTCTGCATTATAATTCGTGATGCTGATTATTAGTATTAGTGGCAGCAGAGTGCTTCTCCAGGATCATTGAAGTGAGTAGAGGAAGAGTGGGGAGTCACATGGAAAAGCAGCCAGAAGTGTTTTAGGAAGGTGGCAGCTAGTGGTGGCAGACCCATTAGGGAGCTGCCTAAAGAAGGTGAATTCAAGGTTTACCCATTCCAGGGCTGCATTGACAGCTTGTCATGAGCCTCTTGGCTGCATTTTCTTTTAAGTGCAAACCATGATTACCCTCATCTTTAATACGGAAGTGTGCCCACGGAGACTACGTATCTCAGCACACAATGCTCAATTTTAATCGAGCAGGTGGGTACTTGTGTTGAGAAGAGATGTATGTTGGGACCCTGTCTCCAAAGGCTGCACTT